ACGAAGAATGTGATGAGCCAGAAGGAAGGGGCGGGGGCAAGGGCTTCGACGAAGACCTTGTATGCAGTGGTGGAGACTGAGGGTGACATGGCTCCATATGCCAAGAGAAAAAGATACCATAATGCAACTGAGCCCCATATGAAAAGGTGCTGTATCAAGGTGAAGTAACTGATGGAAAGTGCCATCTGCAAGTTCACAACCCAAACTGTGCATGTATACATTATTGCTCCAAGAATGTCCCTCCCTACAGTTTTCCCTTCATTGTTGAAGGCCTGGTGTTCTAGCGCTTTCGTGCAGAAGAAGAAAATAATCACGGCAGTTGTAACACCATTCAGCATCCATCCGAGTATTCTACGCCAGCTGAAGAGAACATTTTGCACCCCTTCTTGGTATAACAGAGGAAACTGCACAGCCAAACAGAATAAACAATAAATCCAAAAGATGCAAAAACCAGGCTCAAAATTACGCATGTTAATCTGAACTTAATTTTGCACATTGCCCCGGTGAGCTTACCTTGAGACAAAACCGGGCAGATACATCCTGGTCAAAAACTCCCATAGCGACCACCGGAAATGATGAGAAGAATACATTGTACAGTGACAAAAACCAGTCATTGTATGCGGGCAGTCCAGAGAAGGACGTGTGCGCCTCGTATAAGAAGAGAGTAAAACCAAATGCGATGTTCTTGTAGAAGAAGTAGCAAATCTGCAAGGAGAAATTTGTTAAAGTCAATTTACCATGACACAAGTTTTTTCTTGTGATAAATTAATTTTTTTTGTCACATTGTCGAGATTGCATTACCATTGATGAGATCCTTCTGTAACACCAATGCCCATGCACAAGCAGCAGACGCTCCAAATATCGAAATTGTGCAATGGCAATATCACTTGACATGACCGCCTGAATTGAATAATAAGCATGAAAAGTTCATGAGAATAAAAGCATAGAGAAAATACAGGGAAACAAACAAATTATTCAATAGAACATGTGGAAGAATCTGTAAAATACCTGCATTCCTTCAACACCACTAATTCCAATCCCAATATCTGCTTCTTGGAGCATTCCCACATCATTGGCTCCATCACCAATAGCTAGTGTCGTTTTCCCGGTTCCAGATTTGACCAGTCTAGTGACCTGTTTCATTTCAACATTTAAAACAAATCAATTCTTAAATCTGATTATCTGAGCATGAAAAGGCAAGAATTCATCCTTATGAAGCTATTGAAATGAAAAAGAAAAACCCATGAGATTGTAATTTGTAAACACACCAATGCCTTCTGTTTTGGTGATGAACGGCAGCAAATAACAGATGCACAGCCAATCGCAAGATCTAGAAACATTTTCTTTATATCATCCTCCAGAGCGTAGGCAAGGGATTTTCCATCAATGATCAATGCAAATGCCTCAGAGGCCCCGCCTGATGCTTTAAGCTGAGCCTTTCCCCTAGTTATCTGACGGAGAACACTTCCTTTTGATGCCTAAAGATGAATCAGCAATATCCTATCAGCATCATATGTACTCTGACTTCAAATGGTTTAAGATGGATTAATGTGTATGTACTCTATTAGGCTATTATGTTGTTCAAGATCACTGTTTTACTTCCTTGAGTATCAAAGCTACAGATTCCATTTTCAATACATAAACTAACTCAACTATATGTATATAGTTTTACCATGGCGATGGGTTCTTTGTCTCCTGTCTTTTCCAACGCTTGGATTTCAGGAGACTCCAAATTGATTATAATTTGCTTCATTCCCTGTCTAAGCAAGCTACAGGCAAACCTGCAGGTTAACAATTTCAGTCAGAGACCTTCATTAGTAGGAAGAAAAAAAAAGGCCTCACCTCAGCCCAAATAATCGATACCCAGAAATCATACCCAATATTGATGGCAGTCTCCATCTTGTCTCCAGTCAAAACCCAAATCTTAATTCCTGCTTGGGCAAGCTTGTCAATGCAATCAGGAACCTAACCAAAAAAGAAAGAAAGAAAGAACATCACTTTGGAATTCAATACCATGTCTACAAAAAAACTTCCATGTTATGCCATCAGTATTTGACTACACACCCCATTTTGGAGTTTGTCCTCAACAGCAGTTGCACCAAGAAGAATTAGATCTCTCTCAATCATATCTGTTACTTCATCAATCAATGTTTCGCGATCTGCACTAATTGAATTCTTGGCCTTGATAAATTTTTCATTGAATTCTCTGTATTCATCTTCCTCAAGTTCACGATAGGCAAGTATCAAGGTCCTCAGCCCTGCATCAGCATACTCATTTAAATGCTCCATGGTCTCTTCTTCAAACCCCGTACCATTTTTGGCAAGCCTCTCAAACATGACACTGGACAGAAAATGAGCTATGCTGGTTAGAAAAGTGCTTTTAACTTAGCAACAGGTAAATTAGGGACAGATTCAAGTTTTGAGACAGTTAATACATACTTGTCAGCACCTTTACAAAGCAATAGTACTTTTCCTTCCTCATTTCTTATAATCACAGACATTCGCTTCCTTGTGCTGTTGAACTCTAAAACATTCAGAAGTGTATATGACCTGCAAAATAGAAGTTTCTTGATGAATATAAAAGTGGATATTCCTGGTATAAAAGTGTATGTGAAATCAATGTGGAGGCATTAGGAATCGGGTATCCTGATGAACCCACATCACACCAATGGAAACCGAAGAAGACTGGCATACATATTTGAAAGTCCTATTTATGAGAAAAACAAAGAAATATACTAACCTCTCAACTATCTTGCCAGACACTGGATCCAACTCTCGCAGTGATATGCTTGTTTGCGTCCTTTTGTAGAATTCAAAACCAAGTTCTCTTGCTGCAATCACAAATGCTGCTTCATCAGGAGATTCAGCCTCATACAAAACCTTCCCAGTATCGTCATCAACTTCCGGAATGGCTGTATGACAGATTGCTAATAAACTGAAAAACTTCTGGATGTATTCTGCATGTGGCTCATTAATCCAATTTCCATTCATAATCCTTTCATCTTTAAAATTGAAGCCTTTAATGGGTGGCTTTGTATCAGGAGAATCCTTGACGTTGGCCTCTCTGTTCATATTTTCATGAACCAATGGCGAACCATTTCGCCTACCCATAGCCCTCTCAACCTCTGTATAACCTCGGCCATAAGCTGTCCCTGCCACAGAACACTTAATGAACTCCATTGAATTGCAAGTCAAAGTTCCAGTTTTATCTGAGAGAATTGTGTCAACTTGGCCGAGTTCCTCATTCAAGTTTGAGGTACGGGCATGTGCTGGTTTGTCAGCTTCCTCATAGTACATGTGAATATCTCGATTGATGAAGATGCTCTGAAGAACTTTCACAATTTCTATTGACACATACAAGGAGATGGGGATAAAGTTGCTAAATAGCATCAGGGCAGTCAAAAAGTGGTAAACTGCTGCATATGGAGCTTTTTTAGCATCAAAGAAAATTGTAGAATCATCTGGCCTGAGATACCACCTTTTCATGATCCCATTGTTCAAGTCACCTTCGGTTGCAATCCCAAAGAAAATAGATCCAACCATTGCCATGGTAAATAAAACAAAGAACAAAAAGTAGATAATTTTATCCATCTTCTTCTCAATTCTGCTTCTTTTTGAAGGGGGATCAGTAGAATTTTGAATAACCTTTGTGTCGAGACCAGTGAAGATAACAACTCCATATATGTAGTCGGTATTTCGGAGTTTAGAGTCTCTGAGGAGAAGCTGTTGAGGAGAGAGGGGAAACTGTTGCTTTTCAAACTCCATAGTTCCAACAAATGAGTACAAATTTGCATTCGGGTCTTCACATTTAACAACCGCGTTAAAATCGCACAAGTTAGAGTCCTCATGTAAGGATGAAGTTACCTCCAATGCTTGTTTTAACTTTAAATTTGTCTCCCCGTCAAGGTTCATGGTCTCAACATAGCAGATTGCATCATCATAACTAGATGAAAGCAAGAGGAGGTCCGTTGGAAAGAATTCATCCTTTTCTACTTTCACTATATCTCCCACTCTCAGATTCTTCCAAGGAGTATAATCAAAAGCCCCGTTACCTTTATGTACTTTAACTTTTCTATTGTTCACCTCAATGTCCTGAAAAATTATTCCAACTGTAAAATTATGTAGCCCTGGGTGACAGTTTACATAAAGAACGAATGATATATAAACTACAAAACAGGTAAGATACACAGCACAGTCAAATAATTCCGATACAGAATATCTTGAAGAAAGTTTTTAAAATCTAGTTTGATCATCCTCCAAAGCAATCCCCAGTTAGTTATAGTATTGAAAACTGTATCCTATTGTTTGATTTTACACATTCAATGAGGATTCTGAAGGGAAGAGGAAAATGAAAACAACGAAAATACAGAGCCAAACTGGGTAAGCAAAATAGTACCTGCTGTTTTCGACGCCAATCTTCGATACCCTCTTTCACCATGGTCGCCCCAATGACGATAATAAGAGGGATGATGGCACTGACAGCCGAATATGGAGCCAGAGGAGTGAAGGCTAAAATTCCAGTGACTAAAAAGTAGAAGTTGGCCACCCTCCTGAACTGCTCAAACAAAGATTTTGGCAAGAAAGTAGCAAGTGTATACTTTGTAGTACTGACATAATTGTCTCCATAATTGCGAATCTCAGCATCAAAACAATCTGGGTCATTGCAGTAAACCACTCTGGAAAATCCTGGTCCCCCAATCTGTGAATGTTCATCCCTCAAAGAAGATTTACCACAAGTGAAAGAATAGATCTTGCTGAAACGCAGCTTTCTCCTTCTGCCACCTCCCCTCATTCTTTCTCTCTGTCTATGTCCCTCTCACACTACTATAAGCTCTAGCTAACCCCAATACCAAGACCAACCCAAAACTACCTATATAATTTTGAAAACAAGCCTAGTGAAAATAACAGGTAACAGCTACTGCAGCTCCTTGAAAAGCAATTCCTCACTGATAAATACAGCTTGGTTCTTCAAGGACAACAAAAACCCAGTTCCACAACCCCCCAAAAATTCACAAATATTAAACACAGACACCCAAACGAGGGGGGAAAATCCCAGTTTATAAGAACAGAACCCCAGGGAAAGCCCACCAAAAAAAAAAAAAAGTTTC